TGAAAGCATTCACAGTTACATTGGCTAATGTGAACGTTTCAGTATGACAGATAGGCCTATGGTTAAACCCTCCATCTCCAAGGCAACCTCACAACTTCGCTCTAAGGTTGTGTCATGAGATAAAATGAAAACCAAAAGGATACGCAGAGATAATTCCAGCTCTAACTATCCATAATGCTATTGCTTTAGCAGAGACTTTAGGAGACATTCCCAGGCTGGTTATTTAAACATGGGAGGGCATCGCAAAGATAGCATTTGTCTCTAAAGCTATACAAGCCATACGGGTCCATGAAGAGCACGCTGTGAGCTTTGCCAGTAAACCCAGGGATCTTAAACAGTTTCCAAAGAGCTACATTGAAATGATTGAGGGCACAAGATATGGTGATTTCATGTGTCTGCCAAATCACTTGGGCCCTAACTGTACAAGTCCATTACTTGAAGCTGTAGGTATTGAAGCAGCTTCACTAGTGTTGTCCTTGAGTTGGACCCGACACCACTCCTATGTCTGCCCTTCACAGTGTTCAGCTGAGTTGATACTAGACTCGGGCTTTTCCAGAGAAGGAAAGATTCATTCTCCACTCCCTTGAGCTCCCTTTCAAGGTGGTCTCTGCTGACTATACTGCAGCAGAGCAAAAGCCTGGCTGAAGAATATTGTGTAGGAGTGTTATTAAAGTAGGTCATTGCCCCAAAGCAGCAGACTTCAGGGATAAAATGAATGAAGAAGTTCCTACCTCCTACAGTGGTTGTTTTCAGTTGGTTTGCCCACTCAGAAAGGCATAGATCATATCTCGTCCACCTACTCATGCTCTGTCCTCACCACTGTGAGTCTTAAAAAACACTTTTTTTCCACATGAAAGCTGAGTTACCAACGTTGTCTTAGGATCTGGAGCACACTCATATGCAACCCATATGCAACATCTCAGTGTGACCTTATGTCTCTCAGAAAACCTCGTTGATTTGTCGTTAGTTTGGGTTTTTTGCCCTATCCTAAATCCTCGCACCTCCTCTCTGTTACTACTTACTCCCTCAAAATATTGCTATTCCTCCTTCACACTTGTGCGGGTGCAGGTGCCATGCTCTTCAGGCATAAAGAGAACATAACTGGAAGGGGAGGGGGAAAGGTATAATTATCAGCTAGAAGAAAGGGAAAGATATTGCAAATAACCTGTTGCCAAAGAAGTTTAACACTACCACATTTAAATGGATTATCTCAGAAAAAAAACCCCAGTTCTTATTCACAACATCTCAGGGATGTCAAGCAAGCTGTTGAGTATCTCTGGGCACGTGCAAAGTGTCACTGAGTCCAACAGAAATCAGTGGAAGACCAAACCTCCACTCCCCACAATTGGCTGAAAATTCTCCACTGCTGGGAAACATTTGAATGCCAACGCTCTTTCCACTATCCTGCGACATCGACATAACCAAAACCACTCTGCTTTTTGTCTAAATAGCTGCCAAGAACAGGGAAATAGCACAGTTAAAAAAAAAAAAGTGTTTCCAAAAGCAGTTTTGTACATCTTCTAAAACAAAAGGCTGTGCTTAAATGTGTGTAGCAATAACACTGACAAAAATAATTTCATGTTCTGATTTTGCTACATAGAAAGCAGAAATCTCCTGTGCGTCTGGTAGGGCAGCAATCAAGTTGTTGCACAACTCAATACGCAGATCAGGCCTGAGGAAGTTCTGCTGAGATCCTCTTTGTACTCTGTTTTTCAAATGTGATTAACATCTGTTTTCTTAGATTAGGAAATCGGAGACAGATTTTATGTTATGCTTCTGAATAATTTTGAACGCTGCACAACAGAGTCACGTGCTCTAGGTATTTGGTAATACCAGGTTTTAGCAACTGCTGCTTGGCTGCCTAAAGACTGTTTAAAGCTCATTGTCAAAGCTTTACTCCTCTACTATCTGACTTAGGTGATTTATTGTGCTCCTGAGTCTGTTGACAGATTCACCTGGTATTCAAGTTTGCTAATAGCTGTATTTATTTGTTAAACACAAAGGCCTGAGCCAGGGCTGGTGTCCCTGCTCTGTGAGAACTCCCAAAGGCTGGGCTCTGCTAGCATTGGACTCTGAAGCATCTGCATCTCACAGCTGGGCTTATCTGGTTTCTAGTAAGGTGCAAGTTCCACCCAAAATTTTTTCCCTAGTCAGGATGTTTATAATCACTCCTGGAGGTTCTTTCCCTCTGTCAAATCAGATCGACCAATTGACCAACAGATTAAAAAATTATTAAGGGTGGGGAGGAAGGACAGACACGCACACGCACACCCACACACAAAGGCTGTGAGCACTCCGCCTTTGTGCTCATACGGGCTTTGTTTCCTTGGGAATCCAGCTACTAAAACAGTCAACAGCTGCGACAAGAAATGAAATCTAGCAGCAGAGCAACAAGACTGATGATTAGCAAGCCTTTTGGTTTTGGGATTTGCAACACCCATCCCTTTTTTAAACATGTTAGAGGAACACATCAGGATATGTGTGTAGCAAAGAAAAGCATGAATAAGCCAGCAGGGCAAGCAGACTTTTTGTAGCCCATCACCGTAAGAACTGAAGTGTCATGAAGTGCCCTCTCTGCAGGGAGATATTTACAGTGCGCATCCACCTCCCTTGCGCTCAATCCTGTGACGTCTCCTATGAACACTCACTCTAAATCCCTAGCAGGGGAAACACTATTTTTACCAGGCCTCCTGACAAAACATAGGATGCAAATAACCTGGGTTCAGGAATTAGCAGTCCAAAGGTCAGATTAGCGAGCCATAGTCCCCTCAATGCCCCTCTCTCCCTGCCCGCAGACCAGGGACCTCTATTCTCCTGCTGTGGCCGCTGCCTCCCCTGTGGCAGCAGCTACATCTGCTGCTTCTCGGATTTCTTTTCCAGGTATCAGGTAGCCTCACTATCAGATCTTTTCGGTGTACTGGTAGTGTCTCCAGTTTCCAGGTCCTGTCTCACTGTCAGTCAGCATCCTCCCTGCCTCCTTCACCGGGTACACCCCGTAGCTGGGTGCTGTGGGGCCCTCTCCCCGCTGGGCACTACGGGGAGTAACGCGGCGCTCGGTGCCGGCCACTCTGGGCTGTTGACGTGCTCCGATTCACCTCGCGTGGAAGGAAAGCACCAAGGTCCCGATGTGCCAGGAGAGAAAGGGGCAGTAAGGAGGCAGAGAGCGGGGAGAGGGCCTGAGAGGGAAGGGAGGGGGGTGAGGGGAAGGCGACGTGACAGCCACTTTCTGCCGGTCCAGGCTGAGGAAAGCCGATGG